GCTACTTTTGCTACTTTTAGCCCAAAATTTCGCTTCTTTTGCTACTTTTTAGCCCAAAATTGGGCTACTTTCGCTACTTTTTTTCTCAAAATTTCGCTACTTTTGCTACTTTTTAGCCCAAAATTGGGCTACTTTCGCTACTTTTTGCCCAAAATTTCGCTACTTTTGCTACTTTTTAGCCCAAAATTGGGCTACTTTCGCTACTTTTTCCCAAAATTTCGTGTTTTTTTAGCCCAAAATTGGGCTACTTTCGCTACTTTTAGCCCAAAATTTCGCTACTTTTTAGCCCAAAATTGGGCTACTTTTCAGCCCAAAATTTCGCTGTTTTCGCTACTTTTTAGCCCAAAATTGGGCTACTTTCGCTACTTTTTGCCCAAAATTTCGCTACTTTTGCTACTTTTTAGCCCAAAATTGGGCTACTTTCGCTACTTTTTCCCAAAATTTCGCTACTTTTTAGCCCAAAATTGGGCTACTTTTGCTACTTTTAGCCCAAAATTTCGCTACTTTTGCTACTTTTTAGCCCAAAATTGGGCTACTTTCGCTACTTTTTAGCCCAAAATTTCGCTACTTTTGCTACTTTTTAGCCCAAAATTGGGCTATTTTCGCTACTTTTTGCCCAAAATTTCGCTACTTTTTAGCCCAAAATTGGGCTACTTTCGCTACTTTTTGCCCAAAATTTCGCTACTTTTGCTACTTTTTAGCCCAAAATTGGGCTACTTTCGCTACTTTTTCCCAAAATTTCGCTACTTTTTAGCCCAAAATTGGGCTACTTTTAGCCCAAAATTTCGCTACTTTTTAGCCCAAAATTGGGCTACTTTTAGCCCAAAATTTCGCTACTTTTTAGCCCAAAATTGGGCTACTTTCGCTACTTTTTGCCCAAAATTTCGCTACTTTTTAGCCCAAAATTGGGCTACTTTTCAGCCCAAAATTTCGCTGTTTTCGCTACTTTTTAGCCCAAAATTGGGCTACTTTCGCTACTTTTTGCCCAAAATTTCGCTACTTTTGCTACTTTTTAGCCCAAAATTGGGCTACTTTCGCTACTTTTTCCCAAAATTTCGCTACTTTTTAGCCCAAAATTTGGCTACTTTTGCTACTTTTAGCCCAAAATTTCGCTACTTTTGCTACTTTTTAGCCCAAAATTGGGCTACTTTCGCTACTTTTTTTCTCAAAATTTCGCTACTTTTGCTACTTTTTAGCCCAAAATTGGGCTACTTTCGCTACTTTTTTTCTCAAAATTTCGCTACTTTTGCTACTTTTTAGCCCAAAATTGGGCTACTTTCGCTACTTTTTAGCCCAAAATTTCGCTACTTTTGCTACTTTTTAGCCCAAAATTGGTCTACTTTCGCTACTTTTTGCCCAAAATTTCGCTACTTTTGCTACTTTTTAGCCCAAAATTGGGCTACTTTCACTACTTTTTCCCAAAATTTCGCTACTTTTTAGCCCAAAATTGGGCTACTTTCGCTACTTTTTGCCCAAAATTTCGCTTCTTTTTAGCCCAAAATTGGGCTACTTTCGCTACTTTTTCCCAAAATTTCGCTACTTTTTAGCCCGAAATTGGGCTACTTTCGCTACTTTTAGCCCAAAATTTCGCTACTTTTTAGCCCAAAATTGGGCTACTTTCGCTACTTTTAGCCCAAAACTTTCGCTACTTTTTAGCCCAAAATTTCGGTGTTTTCGCTACTTTTTAGCCCAAAATTGGGCTACTTTCGCTACTTTTTGCCCAAAATTTCGCTACTTTTGCTACTTTTTAGCCCAAAATTGGGCTACTTTCGCTACATGTTTTTTTAGCCCAAAAATTTCGCTACTTTTGCTACTTTTTAGCCCAAAATTGGGCTACTTTCGCTACTTTTTAGCCCAAAATTTCGCTACTTTTGCTACTTTTTAGCCCAAAATTGGGCTACTTTCGCTACGCTACTTTTTGCCCAAAATTTCGCTACTTTTGCTACTTTTTAGCCCAAAATTGGGCTACTTTCGCTACTTTTTGCCCAAAATTTCGCTACTTTTTAGCCCAAAATTGGGCTACTTTCGCTACTTTTAGCCCAAAATTGGGCTACCGCAAAATTTCGCTACTTTTTAGCCCAAAATTGGGCTACTTTCGCTACAGCCCAAAATTTCGCTACTCAGCCCAAAATTTCGCTGTTTTCGCTACTTTTTAGCCCAAAATTGGGCTACTTTCGCTACTTTTTGCCCAAAATTTCGCTACTTTTGCTACTTTTTAGCCCAAAATTGGGCTACTTTCGCTACTTTTTGCCCAAAATTTCGCTACTTTTTAGCCCAAAATTGGGCTACTTTCGCTACTTTTTTTCGCTACTTTTTAGCCCAAAATTGGGCTACTTTTTACTTTTAGCCCAAAATTTCGCAAACTTTCGCTACTTTTTAGCCCAAAATTGGGCTACTTTCGCTACTTTTAGCCCAAAATTTCGCTACTTTTGCTACTTTTT